TTCCCCTTTCTTGTTTCGGCCTTTCGGCCGTCTTAGATGTTTTGTAATGGCCTTGAAGTATTCCTCCACTCTCTTCGGCGCTACTAAGGGTGCTAATCCTTTGTACTTGACAGCAAGGAGATATCTTATGCGAGACAGCATCACTCTTCGATAGTTGTCGAGGTCGGCGCTGGAGATGGACCTTCTGAGTGAGGATCTGGTCTTTTACCGGGACCAGTTCAAATACGGCCTCCAGTTGCCTCTGTGCAATGAGCTCCGGAGCATTTTCAACATGTATGGAGTTATTCCAGCGCAAGTAATGTCGAACTCCATATTTGCGATAATAAGGTTTGTTCTTTTCTGTTGGCGGGAGCATATTCCGTGGAATATCGATCTCTTTAAGTATTTTTTTCTCAAGTAAGGTCAACAAAGAGGGCTTCGTCGTGTTCACAGCTGGAAAGGAGTTTCACTTGATAGGAGTGGAGAATAAAATAAAGGATTAGATGAAGAAGTTCTTGGTTGATTCTTGTCTTAAAGCTTGGAGGATTAAGAACGAGCCGACAGGATGTTCTGTGTCCAAGTCGAGGTCTCTTCCGAAAAGCATGGAGGTTGTTAGGGAGATGTTGACCGAACGTCATCTGTCGGTCCCACAATATACTGTAGAGGTGACAGTCACTAGTGCGTTTGCAGGTGAGACGACGAAAGCGTCGTGGTGTGATTCAGACATCTTAGGTGTTCGAGCGAGGGAAGCAAAGGAAAAGGTGACTGCTAAGCACCAGAAGCAGAAACGTCAATTGGAGCCAGGTAATCTTGTAGGAGACGAGGATCCGCCCCCTTATAATGTGTCCGCGAAATACCTTACCTTTGTGTTTGCTCATAGTGTTGTTATTCAAGGCTAGTTACTGGCAGGGTCATTGCTATTACAAGAAAACATTCTTCTCATTTTGTTAATGCAGGGGAAAGTGAAGAAAGGGAGCCCGGTTCTGAAGGGACTCCGAACAGAGCCGCAATCAGATCTCCCTCTTCTTATGTCGCTGGCGTCGTTGCTCTGACGGATCCTCAGACCGGTGGTTCTTTCTTCTTTTCTTTGTCCGAGAGAGATAAGGCAATTCAGGCAACCCCCTTCCTTTTCGTGTAGTTCCTCGTTGGGGGAGTCGACTTCATCCCCTCGAGAGCGAGGTCACGCCTTCGCATGAGGAAATTGGGGTACATCGGCAGGGAAAGGAGCCGATGGAGGGACCACTCCTCACTCCTCCCATGAAAAGGAGGGGGTCTATATGGGAGCCCGTGCTCAAGTGTGCGAGAAGGTTATGGGAAGATGCCAGCAAGCGGTTTGGTATGTTGGATCGATCCTTCGATTGGTACCTGCAGACAGATGCCAATAGAGAACTGCCCTAGGCCCTGTTGAATCTGTTGTGGTCCAGACGGCTTGAGCGCGCTATGGGAGGTTTTGGTTGCCAAGAGCTTCTCCAGAGCATAGGTCTGTAGCAGCTAATGGCGGTGCAGAGCTCCCATTTTCTGGGGTGGCCTTGCTCGAGGTGGAACGGTCATTGGAGGAGGCTCAGAAAAAGGGAGTTTCGTTGAAGGAGGATCTAAGAAGAGCTCGTGACGATCAAGATCTTCTGAAGCTCAGGCTCGACGAGTCCGCGAGGGCCAACCAAGAATACCTTAGCACCATAGTGGCTCTAGAGAAGGAGAATGTTGAGATGAAAGAGAGGGTCGCCTCCAGCGAACAGTATGTGGATGGCCAACCGGAGTACTTAAAACTTGGGGTGGATTATGCCATTCAATAATTTGTTCGGCATGGCTTAGTCTTCCCTATGTATTTTGACCAGATGGAGTTTTTTGCTTTAACACGTGATGAACTGACAGAGAGCCCCGAGGAAGAGGACAGTTTTGGAAGCGAGGAAGAGTCGGCTACCCGATAAGACCTTCCTAAAATGAGGACTTGTCTTCTTCCTTTTTTTTGTCTGAGAAAATTGTTAACGTTATGCAAAAAAAAAAAAAGCTTGTAAAATTTTCTTTATATTAATGAAAAGAAATTTTTTGCCATTTTGTAATTGCTTTTGTCATTTTGGTTTGCAAAAATTTTTATTTTATCAGGGGCATCACCTTTAAAAAAACTCGCTTTCGGGCAGACCCATGGATTATAAGAAACCGATTTATTGACCGTAGCGCTTCGGTCAGTTAACTCTTATTTCTTTCGTGCGCTGCCAGCGTGCATCTTTTAAGTGGATATCAGTCCCGATTGATCTTTCATCTTGTCATTACCGATGATGACCAGGGTTTTCAGGTGACTTTCACTCCCCTTTTGTGGATCTTGTCACTAGCGGGGAGAGAATCATCCCTAGATGACCAACTGTATAGACTCCACGCCAGCTCGCGTTCGGAAGGTATCTTAAGTTTTCTGACTGATCGTCTACCTATTGGGGTGATTGATAAGTCGATCGATTTCTCTAGAATCGTTGGGTCTCGTGGCAATATTACGAGGTCGTATTTTTGGACCTCCAGGTGCTTTCACCGGATTTGACCGCTCTGGCGGGTCTTTATCCCTTTGTCACCCGTCAGACACGAATCTTGTTGTCGCCTGAGGGGGTGACCCCTTAGCACTTTTGAGGGATCTTGTGTCTCTTTCGCGGATCTCGTCGCTTGAGAGCAAGAGAGAACTCCTCGAGCTCCCCGACCCGTGGGTTCTTTCAGGGGCATTCGACCGGGGTGATGGTTCGGCTTTGTGATTGTCTTGCGATCTCTGACAGCTCGCATTTTGGCTATGTCCGCTATGAGTTTCCCGAGCTTGTCGGGCGAGGTTTGAGGCATGCCTAGTTGGGCTAAGTTCCCCAAGTATCAGGAACGGACCCACGGAGTTAATGTTTCTTCTGGTAAGGGATGTTTTAAAAACCTATTTGAATGTGACATCTCTTTCCTTTTTCGGGAAATCAACCTTCGAGAAGTCGCTTTCATATGCAAAGTTGTCATCATTAGGTGGGCCCTCTTCAAACCTTTTAGCGAGTGGGTACCATTAAATGTTGTCGATCTTACCTCCTATTTAAAGGGGGAGCAACTCTCCATCTTCTTTCCTTCTCATTATGTGCCCTGGCTTTGGAATAATTTAGTGGAAATGACTAACTTTCTGTTTGACCAGGAGTGGGGGGATGTTTCATCGACAACTATCGATGGGCCCCAGAGGGCCCACACCCCTTTAGTTTCTTTTTTCTTTGAGTCGCTTGTTGAACGGAGATATTTTCTCCGGGTCGAGTGTTGAACGTCGCCCAAGACTAGGTAGACGCCCGACAGGAGATCCTTCCCATGGATGGATGTAGTGGGCTTCGGGGAATGGTGGATGTGAGGCCACTTTTTCGGGAGGTCAATACATCCGTATAACCGTTGTCGTCTGATGCTCGGAGGTTTTTGGATCCCTGGACCCCAGTGGTCCAGGAGTAGTGCATGACACCTCCAGTAGCAATGGTTTCTCCTCACTTTGTCTCCAATTGTTCCTCATGACGTGTCAGTCGATTCTTGACCGCGCTGTTGATAGTAGGGTGGTAAGACGCCTTGGTTGTCCGAGCTTCATCTGGGTCGTTTGGATGCTTTGAGATTCGTGCTGACAATTATGGTCTATAGAAGTAGTGGATGCTTTAACTTTAATTTAAATATGTTAAGATTGTTTTATTTGTATGTTACAAACTTCATATAATAATTCTTTTGAGATTAATTGATCTCAAAGGGCATTGCCAAATAGTTATAAATCATATTACCAATAATCAACATTTAATTCATGTTATCACATAGCATGTTGGCATAACAACCAAAATTATTGTTTGTTTCAGAATATTTTTAATAAGTTATTTCAAATAATCACTTTGCACCCAATTTTAAAAGCATAATCCCCTTAATTTTTAGAGAGAAATATGAGCAACGTGCATTTATGAAGTGCATTTTTTTGTGATTTCATTAAATATATGATCGTTTTGAATATTAGCCATTGTTGTTATTAGTGATTTAATTTGATCTCCACATTCCATATTCTCTATTTGTTTGTCAATTTTCATTTTATTTTTAAAGGTTTGCTTGGAATTACTTTTTTTTCCCTTTTTTTTTACTTTTATTTTATTTTTTTTTATCTTTTTATTTGAAACAAAAAATGTTTGCCACGTTCAATTTAGACATTATTTTTTTTTAATATTTCTTAGAACATTTAAAAGTTATTTTAGCGATTTTAAATATATTTAATTTGTTTTTAGAAACAATAAATAAATAACACATTAAATAAATATGGTTTTAAAAACAAAAAAATAAAAATAAAGACAAAAACAAAATTGATCTCAAACAAGTCCTAAGCTTTTGTTGGAGCATCTCGGTGTTTGCACTCTTACATTATAAATCAAAAACATGATATCGTTCGAATTTTAGATAATAGAGTTTTGAATTGTTGAATACTACTAATCCTAATGATAACAAATGCTGGTGACATTGATTGCATATATTTTTTTTTCTTAACCTCGTGTTAGTAAAAGATGAAATCTATTTTTTTTGTGATGGGAGCTAGTGATGGTTTCATTAGATTCCTTCTGTTTCTTGTGTACATCTTTTCGCCAATGTGGATGACCATCAAATATAACGAAAACTATTTTATATTTCTTCTATTTTATTATCTTACTTTTTTTATTCCTAACCATTTATATTTTTGTTTATCAAAATTGTCACTCATTTTTTAACCAAGAGCATTAGCTCATGCGCTATTGCCTCCAACCTCATAATGTATGCGTGAATTCCCAAAAAGACAAAGTCTTTAGTATTTTGCAATCCCTGAGTGAAATTGTTGATTTGATTAAATGGTTATTTTTTTCCACTCCAAGCTTTCAACAGAGAAAAATGCCTCCTTTCCTTTATTTTTACTTTAACATTCATGTTGCTTAACTCTCTGTTGTTTTTTCATAGTTTTTTGTCAAGATTTTGAAGTTCCTCCTCCTATATGTCACAGATGATTAGAGATTTAATTCCCAAATTATATTGTGCTGCAGTGTCCAAATGGTCACACTCTTTGTTCGAACTGCAAGCTTAGAGTACATAACCAATGCCCTACTTGTCGCCTTGAACTCGGTAATATCCGATGTCTTGCCCTTGAAAAGGTGGCCGGGTCACTCGAGCTTCCTTGTAAAAACCAGGCAATGGGATGCTTAGGAATATTTCCATATTATGAAAAGTTAAAACACGAACAATCATGCAAATTCAGGCCTTATAATTGTCCATATGCGGGGTCCGAATGCGCCGTTACAGGTGACATTCATATGATTATCACACATTTGAGAAATGATCATAAAGTGGATATGCATGATGGTTGTACTTTTAACCATCGTTATGTCAAGGCCAACCCACATGAGGTTGAAAATGCGACTTGGATGCTCACGGTAAGATTGTTTGTTCATTATTATTATTATTTTAAGTAAAATTTCAAAATAGCCCCCTAACTTTTATATGGAATCATTTTAGTCCCAAAATATATGGCAGTATCAAATTAATCCTCAAATTGTCTTAATATGGGGTAGAAATAATCTCTAGAGAGGACTATTTTAGCACCATTTAAAAGAGTTTGAGAATCAAAATAACATTTTTTTTAGACTCTAGAACTAAAATAACATTTTTAAAATTTTACATATCACTTTTGAAAAACGCATTCATTACTGGAGTGCACTTTTTAGTATTTCACAATGATTTCAAAGTCAAATTGTGCTACCATCCTACCATTGTCTTAAATTTCTCATATCGTTTGAGTTATTATAGTGTAATGGAGATCAAAAGATTTTCTTTTGGTTCTGCATGATGCTTTTTGTAGTTCTATATGAATCCAAGTTCAAGTTCTTAAAGTACTTTGATGCCACATTTTGTATAACTTGGACTTTTTAGTGCACAGATTTATTTATGGTCATGCATGATGAAGCTTAGGTGAACAACACTGAAATATGGTATACTGGCCACTAAAATAACACGGAATTTAGGAACGTGGTTATTTAAGGTTAATAACATTAATGAAGGCAGGAAGAATAAAGGTACTTTTACATGTAGTGCAGAAGTTTTACTTATAAATGAATAATAAAATATAAAATACAGCTACATTGGGTTAGTATATTTAGAGTAGTGGTTAGTTGAACGTTTCTAAAATAATATTGTACTTTTGAGATAATTCTAAATATCTTTTAAAAAAATGCCTTTATTTGACTTTATACCAAACTTCCAAAAAAAATTAATGTCATATTTTTATATATTTTGCACCCTTAATACTTACAAACAAATTGTTTCCTAAATATCAAATATAAGAGTCACCAAAATATTTTTGTAGCATTAAGGATTGGATTTTGTAAATCAATTCCTCTTTAGAATGCAACCCAACTTAGTTTGTTGTTTGAAAGCTTTAGGACTCTAACCTAGTGGTCTTGGGTTTGAGGTCTTGCATATGTGATGTATGTGAGTTTTCAATTAAATTCACTCATAGGTCTTTTAAAAAAAACTCTTTATACCTTCTATGGATTGGAGAAATTCCAAAAAATAATAATAATAATAATAGAAGTTGACCATCATATTATTCAGATGAGATGGGGGTGTGGTCACCATGGTATCTTTACTAATGTAAAGAAATGATCTTTTTTTTCGCAAAATAATCATTAGGAGGTTGTTTGGGATCACTTTTATGTTTTATTTTCATTTTGTTTGGTGTATATTCTGATTTGAATTAAAACATGATTGTGATAGTTGTTTTTAAAGATATTCAAAACATCTCTTACGTGTTTTGAGTGTCTTTAAAAACAGTTGGATTTAGTTTGAAATAAAAAAATAAAAAAATATAAAGTTCATACCAACCAAATATATTTTTAAAAATAAAAACAAAAAAAATAAAAATAAAAGTGATGCCAACCAGGTTATAAGTATATTAACCATATTCTACCTTTTGGTCTATCTTAATCTACATTTTGCTTTCGTCCACTCCATTCTAAAGTCACACGCTTTGATTATTTTCATGGCAGGTCTTCAATTGCTTCGGCCAACACTTCTGTCTTCACTTCGAGGCATTTTTAATAGAGAAGGCTCCTGTTTACATGGCCTTTTTGAGATTCATGGGTGAAGATGATGAGGCCCAGAAGTTTAGCTACAGCTTGGAAGTGGGTGGTAATGGCCGCAAAATGTTGTGGCAAGGGGTGCCCAGGAGCATCAGGGATGGCCACAAGAAGGTCAGAATCAGTCAGGACGGTCTGATCATCCAGCGAAATTTGGCCCTGTTCTTCTCCGGCGGAAACCACCAGGAGTTGAAGCTTCGAATCACCGGCCGGATCTGGAAAGAAGAGTGATAACTTTTGTTCACCTAAATTGGAGGTAAGTAATTCTGGGCTCACAAAGCTTGATGTAATAATCTCTTTTGTGTGGAGTCTTCTGAAAAATTTGCTTCATCCTGTATGATTTGTGTTTAGCCTTTGTGATAAGTTCATGATGTCAATTAACAATGGGAAATGTCTGGTAATGGTTTCTGCTTCAATCCTCATCTCAATAACTGTTCCATCTTGGAAAAAAAGAAAAGCTGTTAGGAAATACGTTTTGCTTTAGCTGTTTTGTTTATATGGCATTGTTTGGTTGTTTTGATGGAAATATGTTTTTGAAAATCAGGACAATTGCCTGGTTTTCATTTCTTTCAGTTATAATTCCTTACGTTTTCATTGAGGGTTCATTTGGTAATTTGTAGATTTGCAAAATTTTGAAGCTTTGCTCTGGTTTGAAGATTATGAAGGTGATACGGTTCAGCTCAGAAATTGGCACAATTTTTCACAAAAATTTTGACATAACATATTTTATTACAACATCAAACACTCAACAAGAATACAAGGATAAACACCTTCAATTCAAGAGGTAGGCGATCGTAGGCGATCTATCTCAATTCAATTCCTACAATTTGAGAGGTAGGAAATCTCTTCCAAATCCTAATGTTAAGACTCACAATAATAATCTCATGCATAATTCTAACTTTAAGTTATTAAATTCAATTTATACCCAATAATAATAATAATAAATGACCAATTTGCCCTTAGGCTAATAAAAGACTAAGTTACCCTTGGGCCGGTGTGTAACAATACTCCCCTCCCAAAAAGGCACATTATCCTCAACTTGACCTCTTACACCACAACCGTCTCTATTTCTTCATCCCATGTCTCTTCGTCACAAACTGTGAGAATCTGTAATATTTGATTTTTGCAATGATATCCGTGGGCGTGGGCAAACTTCCCATAACACAAAAATCATAACCCATTGACTTGCCTCTCCAGAATCTCTGTTTCTATAAGGCACTTGAAGTTGACCTCTTGGGGGGGGTGGTTCTTGATGATAGATGCTTTTCTCCTTTTGTTATTCATGTTCGATCTCTTTCTCTTTCGGTTTGACCAGGTGTCAGTGCGGTCTTTGATTGCATCTCAATAAGCTTCCTTATCATCTCTTTTAAGCTTTCGAATCAGTTTTCCATAGAAGAAAATCTATCGTCAAAAGAATAAAATTTTCCTTCTATGGTGGAGGATCTTTTCTTCATCACGAACTTAAGTTTGCTAACATCATCCTCCAATTTCTTCCCCAAATCTACTTTCTTTGTTGTTATCATTCCCCGACAAGTGTTTGATCACAAAAGACGGAAATACATGTATGTTGAAATGTCGTTGATGGTTTTGATTTGACTGCACGCCGGAATTAGAACACAAGAAAGATGAGAGCTTAGCGACTTGGTACGCCACGTAAGGTGGAAGTCTCAAGCCTCCATAAGCCGCATCATTGCCTTCTCAACATGCTCTAATTGCGACTGCATTGCGTCCGCAGAGCGGGAGGAGAAAGATAGGTATTTCGGGTCTCTGTAAATCGCGATCCCGTCGTTGCCTTCTTCTCCGGTTCTCTTTGTCTCAATGGAGGCGAAAGATAGGAGATTCGGGTCTTTGCTATGAGCCCGCCATCGCTTCCTAGGTTTGAATGCGACTTTATCTCATAGATGAATGTGGGAGGAGAAAGACGAGAAATTTGGGTCCACGAGCTCAATTGGTATGTTGGACTCAAAATTATTTTCAGGTTGTTATTCATTCTTCTTCCTAGATCGAAACACTCTAATACCAATTTGATACAATTCAGCACATAAAATGACACAAATTTTACGTAGAAATTACTGCAAATATATATGTTATTGCAAGAACATTAAACACTCAATATAAATACAACGATAAGCACTTACAATTTGAGATGTAGGCGATTTCTCTCAATTCCTATAATTCGAGAGGTATGAAATCTCCCACAAATTCTAAACCTAAGATTTACAGCAATAGTCTCATGGATAACGCTAACCCAAAGCTATTAAATCCTATTTATACCCAATAATAATAATAATAATAATAATAATAATGCCCTTAGGCCGTTGCGTAACAGGATGGTGTACAATTGATGTATCTCTTATAAATCAATTCGTTTATCCTAACTTATTTCAGTAGTGCTCTACTATTGCCCTTAGGCCGGTGCGTAACACGATGGTGTACAATTGATGCATCTCTTATAAATCAATTTGTTGATCCTAACTTACTTTCAGTAGTGCTCTACTATTCAATCACATTGTCAATCAATTAGCAGAATTTCTCAAGGAACTAATTTTTTTTTTAACTTGGATTTATGCTAAGAAGCCAAGTCATGCTCAAGATGTAGCTTTCTGCATGATTTTTCATGAAATGGCCACCTTATAGAATGAGATTTGAAATTGATGTACAAGTGATTGTTAAATAAAAATAAAAAAAAAAATTGATGGTTATTGATTTCCTTCCCGAGAAAAATTGTGATGCATAGTTGGGCACTGTTGGTGTAACCCTAAAAGAAGAAAGAAAAAAGTTTGTCTTCATTGACTTTCATGATTTGCATGGAGCTCATCTCAAAAATGAAATTTCATTTTATTTTTTAATTTTAGAGCTAATGATTGTCATAGTCTAACCATACATCAAACAGGTGGGAGCACGCCTTTATAAGCAGAATGAAATTAAAATTTTAAAGACAACGTGCATTTTGGTGGAATGGTTGCACTTTCATCCGTAGCTCTAAAGTTAAACATGTTTGTGTTGGGGCACTCTTGTGACTGGTGACCTCCTAGGAAAACACCAGTATGACAAAACATTTCTAAAGAGTACAATTTCTTGATGAATGAGAGGTAGGGTTGTTACAAATGGTATCAAAGCCTTACATTAATCTAACAATAGGAATATTTGCTTGTTGGATGATTATGTGTTAAGAAAACTGATCATGATGTCAATTACCTGAGTTGGGGAGACTCTTAAATATCAAGACACATTTTGGTATAATAGTTGGAATTTTAGCAGAAACTCCAAAGTTCAACATGCTCGTGCTGAAACACTCCCAGTATAGTTAACCTTTTGGAAAGTTACACTAAATGAGACAAAACTGTGAGACCTTTAGGCAAAAGCCAAAAATATCTCGATAGGTCAAAATTTGGGCTCTTACAAAAGTAATATAATTTGGTTGTCGTGGAGGAAGAGCAATGTATGATATTTTAAACAATTATTGTTAAATATTACTATAAGGTAAGACCTTTGGCCACATAACTATAACGACCCATATATTTGATGATTATACACTCTGCTAAGTTCATTTTTTACATTGATGATCCTGTCGTCAAAAGCAAGGCATATGATGATCATCTATATGAATTATCATCTAGTGTCTGTATCATAGGTATCTTAACATCAATCACTTAAAAGTGAAATTTCGAGACAATTTTGGTGAATTTCTTTAGATTCACAGTCAGACATAGGGGCTTTAGGATTGATTCATCGACAATCAAAGTCATCTCCTACTTAAAAGCCCTCCTTCAGACTCTCAACCACAATCCTTTCAAGAAGAACTTGCCTTCTTTTGTTGTTTATCCCCTACCAGTTTAGCATATATCAACCTAAAAATCTTATGCTTGTTGCTCCATACTTGAGGAACCTTTGGATCTCATACTTTTGCTCTTAATGAATCACTTCCGTCTTATTAACATAATCTAACGGGCTTTAATGGGCTGTCAGAGATGGGCTCTAGCTAATTTTCTCACATAAAATCCTATTTTTGTGGATCCTCCCATCAATTTTAGTTTGTTGGATGGTGATAATAATAAGGGAGGGGTTGAGCTCTCGGCATCTCACCTGCCTTCTCCGATGCCCCACCCAACGGGTACAACCACCGCGATGGCCCATTTACATCCAAAACTTTGGGATATTTACATCCACATCACTTGATTCCTATGTATTTACATATCTATCATTTAATTTTTATTTTTATATTTATATCATCCAAAATATTCGTATCACACTATTAAAATACCACCATTTTTATTCTAAAATAGTGAAATACACCTCTCATGCATGGGTAATATGACATGCATATAAAAATTAAAGCTTTGGTGTTGGATATGTAAATACATAAGAATTGAGTGGTATGTTTGTAAATCTTCCTAAAATAGTTTTCTATTGACAGTAAAGTGTCCATATGAAATTATATTATATGTTATGAATTTCTATATCTAAAATTCATAAGCTTATGCATTCAAAATATGATGTTACATATTTGAGTATATTATGAATATAAATATTAAGATTTAGATGTTAGATATGTAAATACATAAAATTGTATGGTATGTATGTAAATGACCATTTTATAAAAAAAAATATTATTTTGATATTATCCTTAATTAAATTTTAATTTTAATCTGCATATTTATCTTCTCCTCTCTTAAACCGCCATCTCCGAATTCTTTCAACCTAAAGCTGCAGCAACCTAAAAATGGTTAATTTCCCTCACAAGTCTTCAATTCTAATTCTTTCAGCTCCTCCGTCAGCATCACTTCCTCTCTTATAACTCAATCTCTCTCTCTCTCTCTCTCTTGCCCAAACAATTTCCATGGCGTCCATTCTAGTTCTGGTTCTTATCTTCATCTTCAACCTCATCGCCTTCGCGCTCGCCATCGCCGCCGAGCAACGACGGAGCAAGGTAAGTCCAAAAGACACAATCCGCTAAATCTTTGGAGAAAATATTGCATCACGTCCAGACTGCAAATCACGAGAAGCCGCATCACCCACAAATGAAATGAGATGTATGGCTATGTGGTGCCCTGTAATCAGCTGTTCGGACGTAATATTTTCTCCTATAAGAAAGATTTATATGTTAGCATGTGCATGCAGGCGAGAGTGGCGGCGGACGAGGAGGATAATTACACGTATTGCGTGTATGATTCGGATATCGCCACCGGCTACGGCGTGGGTGCGCTGCTCTTCGTCGCCGTCAGTCAGGCGGTGGTTTCCGTTGCCAGCAAGTGCTTTTGCTGCGGCCGTGCGCTGCGCCCCGGCGGCCCTCGACTCTGCGCTCTGTTCCTATTCCTCTTCTCCTGGTGATTCTTCTTCTTCATTTTTTTTTATAAATTTATTTGCTTCTTATAAGATAAATGAATTATGAGAGAGGAATATAATTTTCTAAATAATTAATTATTTAAAATAAATGCAATATTGAAAGTAATTGATAAATCGTGTATTATAAAATAAATAAAATGTGATTATGGAACTACCAAACACCCTCCCAAGGGAAAAATATTTGCGTACATAAGACGTACGCAGCGCTGCGTACGTCCAGGGGTTATTCGGGGGTACAGGGGAGTTATATCGGGATTATACCCCACTATAACCCCTTTGTAACCTTTTTGTAAACTACTTGTAACCTACAAATGAGTTTCGGGCTTTTGTAATTTCATGGGTACAAATAAGTTAGACGGAGGTTATAAGGAAGTTACACGGAGGTTACATGGGGTATAACCCGGACATAACCCCCCGTATCTCTTGAATAACCCCTGACGTACGCAGCGCTGTGTACATCTTATGTACGCAAATATTTTCCCTCTCAAGGAGATGGAAAACATTATTTATTCGGATGATCATAATTTTTCTTAAAATTTTTAAATAATAATAAATTTTATTTTCATGCACAATATTATTTCTATTTTCTATTAGATTTTAGCCTCTTTTTTTTTTTTGAAAAAATATTGAGTTCTTATGCAAAAATGGATCAGGATTTCAATCACAATATGTCATGTGTACAGTCTAGCTCTACCCTATACTAAATTATTTGGTTTATGTTTTACTAAAGAGAATAACACGTGACAGATAATGATTGAAATTTTGATACATTTTTACATCAAAAAATATTCTCTTTTTTTCCCTTGTTTTGAGGCTAATTAATTTTGAAAAAATTAAGGGTGACGTTCGTCATAGCGGAGTCGTGCTTGCTGGCGGGATCGGTGGAGAACGCATACCACACCAAGTACAGAACGATGTTCGTGGACAACCCGCCGTCGTGCCAAACGCTGCGAAAGGGTGTGTTCGGCGCCGGCGCCGCCTTCGTGTTCTTCACCGCGCTTCTCTCGGAAATGTACTACTTCGCGTTCTCCAAGGCGCGTGACTTCACCATCGCCAAGGAGCCCTCCATTGGCATGAGCTCCCATCCGTAGACCACATCCATCCATCTTCTTCTTCTTCGCTAGCTTGATCTGTTCTGTGTTCCTTTTTTGGCGGTTTCATGGTTGCGGATTTATTGAATGTTTGAGATATTGGTGGGTGGGTAACTTCATTGATTATATTAGTTTTGGCTGAAATTTTTTGAGTTAGATTTAGGCCCATTTGGGGCAGCTTATCGTTTGGAAAACACATTTCTACAGTTTATCTGAAAATGCGGTTGGATTTTTACACTAAACATAGGTCGCGGGTCGCATTTGAGGATAAGCTGCTTATCTGGATAAGCACAAACTGTCCCAAACACAAAATTAGTTAATGTAATTGGCTTGTTTGGAGGAGCTTTATTGTTCAGGGAAGCATGTTTAAAAGTCATGTTTGTGGAACGGCTACTGCCTTCTAGGATCTGAAACCCAAAAAATTGTGATTCTATTGAAATAAATTCAAATGTTGTTGCTTTACTGAAATCCACGCATCAAGTTCACTACAATGAAACGCCACTCTTCTCAAAAGAAGCCAAAGCTGATTTTTTTTTCTTTTTCCATGAGCTAATTAATCATGCTTAAATTTCCAAAGCTATTTGAATTAAATGTTATAAAAAAGTTCATTTAATTAAACAATAGGTGTAATTTTTAAGGTGCATTTGCATACAGACTGCATAATTCTTATATATTTATATATGCAGCACCTAAGCATTCATATTTATATGCATGCCACTCAAATCTTTAATATGACATTAAAAATATTAACATCACTATATTTCTAAATGTGAACCACACATTTTCTTGCAAGATTTATGATACCAATATATTTATTGAATCCCAATCTGTCATTTAAATCACACCCGAGGAATTGGAAAAATTATTCCGTACGGACAGCGTATGCACAAATGCATATGATGTCCGATCTACACTGTTCATCAGGGTAAATATATATTTTGGTGGACCCCATTTTTATTTTTATTTTTTTTATGATGGACGGTGGAGATTTTTTGCATGCGCTATCCATATGGAATTAAGCATAGAATCTGAGAAAGAGTATGTGTGTGTGCGTGCAATAAAGAACTACTCTTTTAATTAACACCTTAAATGTAAAAAAAAACCCCTTTTTTTTGTTTTTAGGCAATGGGGGTTTAAAGTGCACAATAACATGTTTGTCCTAGCTTTTTTAGGTATAAAAAAGAGTCTTTTGGCTTGGTTGTCATATCACTAAAAGAGAATTTTGAATTAGCATAAAAAATTTGCGTCTGAAATTTTCCACATAAAAATTTTTGTTAGATTTTGCGATTGCTTTACGGTGAACATAAGTTTATTCGATTTGAATCATAATTTGTGTCAGGTTTGTGTCTGAATATTTGGCACAAACAACGATGAAATTAAGGGTGTAGTGATGGTTCTTTTTGTGTTTGATTTGCGTCAAATAAATCGATGCAAAAGATTTGCGAAAAAACATAAAAAAAAATCCAATGCAAAGCACTCATAAATCCAATGCAATAGACTTAGGAAATCCATCTGATGTCCTCCAATTCATTTTCTTCTTCACGCACCATGACCCCATCAACTCTTCTCCCTCCAGCGAAAGTAAAACCCCTAGCATCTCCTCTCCTCCCTCTCGTCGTCACTGGTCACCACACCTCCTCTTCATCGGTAACCATACCTCTCTCCCACCACCGAAACTCCGTCGCAAACCTAGCCCATCGCCGCTTTTGAGAGGATCAGAAAAGGTAACTTATCTCTATTTTTTTTTTCCCTTTTTTAAATTTTGATAAGTATGTAACATTTGAAGTTTGAGTGTTATGAATGTATATGCTAAGACTTCAGTGGTATGTACTTAACATTTGAAGTTCTGGCGTTAGGAATGTATATGCATAAAATTAGGTGATAGCTATTTGTATAGCATTGAGTGATATGTATTACAATCTTATTATTTATATACACAAGCATTGAGTGTTAGCTTTGTATAAAAGCAGTTTGGGTGAGATTAGATTTGGACACTTTATATAAGCTATCACTGCAGAAAAAATCGCTGCTATTTTGTTTCAGCATCGTCGTAATTGCTAGCGCTGCAAATGCTTTTAACAGCGGTTTTAAAACTGTTGGGAAAAGCTCTTAGCGACGATATCTTATGCAGTGGTTTTAACTGCTAGTAACATTGCAGCGGTTACTAATTATGAGTGCTGCAAAAACTTATGGCAGCGGTTCTAAAACCATTAAAAAAGACTTTTAGCAAGGCTAAATTTGCCCCTGGTTTTAACTGTTATATATAATAAAATGAACATATATAAGAGAAGATTTACATATGTATTTCTATATCTAATACAGTGCAAATGTAAAAATTGAAATTTTGTTAGATATGGAAATAGAAATTTCATATGAAAAAGATATATCAATCCATCATTTCAGTTTCTAATAACTTAAATAAAAGATGATTAAGTGAGCATAAGAATACATAAATTCTACGAACTAAGTAGTAACATCCTCCAAACGTTAAAACATGTAGCAATCCATGAGATAAACCTCCACCAACCTGGCAACCTTACAATACAAGAAATCAACAATCATTAAACAAAAGTGCATCAATAAAAGATGATTGATACATGAGATTCCCCTTCAATTCGTCATTTAGATTAAGGTTCGTTGCATCTTTATTAAGAATAAACACAATCAATTAATAACTTTAAGATGATTAAAATGAAATAAAATATTTAATTTCTTATGAAGTAGCATACAGAGTTTGATCCTCCTTGTGGCTAATAATTCAGCTGCATTTGTTGAATGAATTGGCTTACTTCATCCATAAGAAACGCATGTCACCTTCTGATTTTTCAACTCGAGCAGAAATAGACATACTATTGCTTTCACTTGAAGTTGTTGTACTAAGTATAAAAAATTGAGTTGGAATGACTCCAAACCGCTGTGTTTGTTCCCTTTTAGGGTGTACAGGACCCATGGCAGTTATGAAAACCCTATCATTTGCTTTTATTTTACCTTCTTCTGGAGTTAACCCTTCCATCTCTAACATCATACAAACTTATGTTTGCATTACAAAAGCATATATATTTAAAATCAAAATGATTTATTTAACTAATCACTATAAATATAATAAGCTAATATTAATACTCATTTCTCTTTAGCATTTTCAGATGATCATGCCTCATTCGTGTGTATCCTATTAAGACTTCATAATTGCATCTATCATGAATAGCCTTAAAAAAATGGTAAAAAATTTAATTTAGTATACTTACTATTTATAATTTATTAAAAAAATAACATCTTACAGTTTCAGTCTGTCTCCTTATGAAGTTATTCTGACTCATTGTGCGAGGACATGACTTTTTTTTTGCATTTTCAATACTTTTTGTCGCCCTTCTCTGTAGGAAAAAATATTAATTCTTCTATTCAGTTCAAAAATAGATAAAATATAATGAAAACCTCATCATCTGGTTGTGACCACCGTATCACAAGTTAACACCATTGAAGTGCATCTACTTCTTCAAGAACATCCTCCATAATCTTCTATATGAGACGACTATCCCAATGCTCTGACTTTAGGTTAGTCTTGCAGTTACGTTATTTAGTGCCAACGGATTTCAAAATCGAATGACTTATATGGCCAAGAATTTCAAATTTAGCCTGCAAATAACTTGGTTAAAAATTATTTTTAAAATAATAAATAATAATATAAATTAATTAATATATTCCAAAATATATCTATCTCTGTTAATATTGAGTTTTGCCTCTTTGGCTTGACTTTTAGGAGCATGGTAGCTTTTTATTGAGACTTACTTCATGTGCTTGTCTTCCAGAAGCACAGTAGCTTCACATCTAGACTTGCATTTTAGGCTCAACTTCCAAGGGTACCGAAACTCCCCATCGAGTTTCACTTCTTGGGCATTCAAGCATCATGATAGCTTACTATCGAGACTTGCTTCCTAGGCTTGTTTTCTAGGAGCACACTACAGCTTCATATCAAGTTTTACCTCCTGGACTCAACTTTCTGGGATATTGGATCTTCCTATCAAGTTTCGTCTCTTAAGCTTGACTTACCGGGGCATGGTTGAAAAGAGAATTTGTTAAAGATGTGAAACCAATTCTGATTTATATAGCTGGAGTTGCTCTATGGTATTAACCTTCTAATGGAGAAAGTCATATGAAATCCACTGAGGATGGTTGACATATCTTAGGTTGTTGGTCGAAGCTTTTATTTGACTACCTTAACCTGTTAAGAAAGAAGTTGCAGGAAATAGATCAAGGAATTTTCCCTATCTGAGGTTGTATGTCGAAGCTTTTGCTTGACAATTGTAATTTGTAATGGAAGAGATCGAATGGAGTCCCCCTGGGATCGATTAAGGGTAAAATGTGGTGTAAGAGATTCTCTACATTTCTCAAGACCGGGGCATATGTCGCAATGGACCATATATTTTCTTGGAAATATGGTTGCAGTCACACTCAAGAATAATGTTTGACAAGTCGTTAGTTGCTGCTCTTGAATCTTTTGCCCCCTAGCGAGGACATTTTCTATGCGAGCTTGTAAAACACTTCCTGTATCAAGCGTTGAAAAGATCAACTTTTTTATCTAATTAAATAAAAACTCTAGTACGGTGAGGGCACTGAGGAAGCATTATTTGCGACGAAAATTGTCCTCTGTCTAGGAGTGGGTTTCAAAGTCTTGTTGTCTGAATGAAATGTGGAATTACTATTCTATCACAGACGTGCCCATGACATTAAACAACATTTCGAGACTATCTGAGGTTGTATGTCGAAACTTTTGCTTGACGGTTGAAGCTTTTAATGGAAGAGGTCAAATCGAGTCTCCTTGGGATCGATTAAGCCTGGACTAAAGTGTCAGAGATGCTCTGCTTTTCTTGAGACTCGGGCGTAGGTCTCAATGGACCATATATTTTTTTTAGAAATATGGCTGCAGTCATATTCAAGAATAATGTTTGACAACTCATTAGTTGCTGCTTTTGAATCTTTTGCCCCCAACAGGGGTGTATTCCATGTGAGTTTGTAAAGCATCCCATGTATCGAGCCTTGAAGAAATTAGCTTATTGATCTAGTTGAAGCAAAACTCTAATATTGTGAGGGGGAGCTGAGGAAGCGTATTTGCGACAAAGATTATCCCCTGTCTAAAAGTGGTTTTCAAAGCCTTGTTGTCTGAATGAAATGTGGGATGACTATCCTACTACAGTCGTGCCCATGACATTAAACGACCTTTCTAGACTATAGTGAGGGTTGCCTTCAAGCCTGAAAGAAGTTGTGAATGACTTTGTGTATAAATAAGATGTGAGAAGACAACTAAGCTACAATCATGCCCGAGACGTTAACAGGAACGATCTTTCGAGACTGCAGTAAAGGTTGCTCCCTACATTGAAGAAATCTTCGCACTCAAGATGTAAAGGAGGTTTCTTCGCCTATTGGATGATGTACATCAATAGGAAACAAAGTAGGAGCTCAGTGCTTAGAATTAAAGACAACGTCGAACATGACTTCACTCCCCATAGGCGGCGTCAAACTCATAATTGCTAGAAAATTTGTGGTGTTATAGTAGCGGATTATTGTATTAGCATTGCATCAAATTTCAGAATTAATAAATTAATTTTAATAATAGTTTATATAAAATGCCTCGAAGGGCTTTACGCTTTTAATTTTTTTTTTCTCGTGATTCTCTCCCCCCAATCAAATTATATATGAGCTACTTTTTATAATTTGGTGAGTTCAAATTCATGTATGTATTTGCATAAGATCAAATTATTAAAAATATGATCAAATATGAAAAAAAAAATCAATTGAGATTTTGTTTGTGAACAAATAGTCGTGGGACTATTTGGACAGGACCTTTTTAGGCACAGAGTTTATAGAAGTGCAAATTTGAATTCTACTAGTCTTAATGATGAAAATTTTAGGGCCAATTTCTTAGTCCCAAGCAAGAAAAAATATTACATCAGGAGTACTGATGCATCAGTACTTCAATGAAGGGGTGTCACGTGGCACCACGGTGGGGACCATTGCCTACGTGACACCCCCTCATTGGGTACTGATGCATCAGTACTCCTGAGGTAATATTTTTTCCCCAAGCAAATATCTCATTTCACAGTTACCCTACATAATCCAAGCTCATTAGCCACCCACTTGCCTCAACAATTATCAGGGCAAAAGACAGCAAGAGAGAACTACGCCTTCAAACAAGACGTCGCGGACTAATGGTCGCCGACTCGCCGTCCGCATTTTAACAATGATAAAAAAGTATTTTTAATATCCCTACATCATCCGAGGTTAAAACCTTGTATGCTGGGATTTACCTCGGACCATGGCTCCAAACGAACCCTTAAAGGCGGCGCCTTGGCGCGTCACTATGGAAGCAGAGGATCCACCTCCCCCGCATCGGCATCGTTCAAATCGCCGGAGCCACCATCCCAATAATCCCAATAGCTGGCCGGAAAACCCGTCTCCTTCATTTCCCAAGTACTCGCCGTTGTAGCATCCATCGTTCCCAAAAGACCATCCTTGCATCCACCGCCGACGCCTTGAACACCCCTCCAACTATACTGAGAGGAGAAGGAACACGAAGGCGAAACCAAGCCGGAACTCATGCCGTTCAAATCTTCCATAAACATTAGAGAAGCATTTGGCAGCGAAGTGCTAAATAAACCGTTCAATCCATCGATGGTCGGCGATTGCAGCGGCGGCGGCGGAGGGAGGAGCAGTGCCTGACGGAGAATATTTGGAAAGATGGAGCCTTTCATCTCTTCGATTACTGGCGCTATAGGATTTGCAGCAGAGGTGCTGACGGATGAAGTGGTGGTGGGAGTAGTCTTTCGGCGTTTATTCTTGCGGCTGCCGCCGATGGGTATGTTGCGCAGAGTACCACCTTCGGTCCAATGGCGGCGGCAAGCACGGCAAAAATGGCGCGGCTGCGAGCGGCTGTAGTTGTTGTAGTAGCAGAACTTGGTGTTTGTGGACTCACAACGAGGACACTTTAGCAGAGGAGCGCTATTCTTTTCTTCTTGCCCCTTTGGCTTCGGAAATTCCAATCCACCCTTAACAGAACCTTATCGGATGATCAGTAAGCTTGAAATTGAAAAGAATCGATATAAACAACTTCAAAAATAAAATAAAAATCTCTCCTTTAGAACTAATTACCTGCGGCCAGTTATGGATATCTACTGGAACTTGCTTCGAGCTCAGTCCCATGTCTCTTCTGCTCTGATTCAGCGATTTGTGAATGCAAGGCGAAGGAGGCGGGAGAAGAGCAGGAGAAAAAAGAATAAGAACGGTCCTACCTCTTCACTGACCGAAATGGATTTCAAGAGAGAGGAAGAGAACATATCGGACAGGAAAGGGAACTTGGAAACGGGTTAAGAAAGCTGCAGCCTTTTCGTTTCCGCTGCAAAATTAGCCAGATTACTTCGTTTCTCTGAGCTCGATTTTAAATATTTATAGGAGGAAAAGAGGGAGTGAGAGCGTTTTCTTAAGGGTTAAGTTAAAGACGAAAGCGAGGAGACGAAGAGGGAGAAGGTAGGCAGAAGTAGCAAATAATCTCCATGGGAGCTGGGCCTGAAGATAACGCTGAGGATGAAAACGATGGGGGAAGAGAGAGAGTTAGTGCGAGACAGGGTGGTGGGAGAAAGATGGAGTGGTCGGTGGCTTTAGTGGTTCGGGTGGGGGCCGCGACAATGGCGGAATGGTGTGACGACTTCGTTTACCACTTGCGGGGAAAAGAAGCCGCGCATGGAGGAGCACTCCGTTAAAGGAACGGCACCCGGTGCCAAACTCCTGTTTGGTGTTTGTTTAATTATTGAGATATGGAGTTCAGGTACATACGAGTTTTTTTGTACAATAATATTGCACATACAAGCGAAAATATTCCCTACATAATAGATGAGAGATCTTGTGGAAGATGTGAAAAGAAGATAGATAGATTTTCTTTGAGAGACAATCAATGATTTTTTTTTTTAGGGTCCGGGATCCAATCATGTTCTTTTTTTCTTCTTATTTATATGTTATAAAGATTAATCTGAAGAATGAAATATAAAAGTAGGTTTTATGTCGTATAGTATGGAGCCTGAGCAAATCATTGTTGACACGGTTGTTGGCTTGGATTGTCATGTTGTTTATAAATGATGATATATGTGTTGACAAACTGAAGTTATCTATGGACTGAACAAATAACTGTCAACGAGCTTGGGGGGAAAGTTCAAATAGTTAAGGGAAGCTATGAATAAGTACTCGAGCAATGTGATCGGGCTCAATTGGAGAAGCTTAGTCACATATATCATTTACTTATTCCAAACTCGTTTGAAATCTTTAGCTAAGTGAGCTGCTGAAATGAACTCGTAAGAATGCTGACGAGCTTAAAAGGTACTTGTGGGGTCCTTTTGAGTGACAAGAAGCTCTGCTGCTTGTCACTTCTAAACATACAACTAACGATTATGATTGGCCTGGTTAGCACTACACCATTAAGTTAATGGTTTGTACGCTTATTCCATTAGACTCGTTTAGTATTTGGGCTTTTATGTTACTTAAGGAAAATTATTTTCGGACATACAAGCACAAATTAACTAAAATAAAAAATGAATATGATTGTTTATTAATAAATTGTATAAGGTTTTACCTATTTTCAGGACTTAATATGAATATTTACATGTTTAACATTTAAATTTATTATTTATATAATTTAGCACTTTAAATTCTTTAATACATCTCATTAGACAATTAATGGATGAGGCTGCGTATGATAAGAGAAAATGCAATGTATGATTATGAATGAAATCAATTAAGAATAGGGCCACTAGGATCAAGTGAGGTCAATTAGGCCAACTGGGATGAAGATTATGTTGGAAGATAAGAGACAATTGTAAGAGGAGAAATGCTAAGACAATAAGAGGAACACTTGAAAAACTCACTTTTATTTCACTCTCACACTTCTTGGTTTTACTTGATACAAAACTCAAACGCACCACATCTATTTAGACTAGTGACAACCCATTAAGATTGCACCAACACATTTTAATTCAATGACTACTACTGACTCACTAGAATATTCTCCTTTTTTTCTTCTACAAAAGTCATTAATTACATATTCTATAATTCTCTAAAACACACCGTAAAAACATTATTCATAAAGCAAGTCTACAGAATTTTCTAAAGACTATTCTAGATTATGGACTCAATTAATAGCCCAAATTAAATTAAGTTTACTTTTTTTAACACCCCTTCTTAAACTTGATTTGTCATCCCAAGAAATCTTCTTATTCTGATAAAATCTTCATAGTTGAGCAGCTTGGTGAATATATCAGATGTTTGATCATGAGTTTTCACTTGCTCTATTTGCACATCCTTTCTCGTGATGCAATCTCTAATGAACTGATGGTGTATGTTCATATGTTTACTTCGATCAAAAAAGACAAGATTCTTAGCAAAAGTGATAGCTAATTTATTATCAGCACAAATCTGTATTCGCTCTTCTTGTGATAATCTTAACTCCTTAAACAAATTTTGAAGCTAAATTGCATGACAAACACATGTTGTTGCAGCAACATGCCCAGCTTCACAAATAAAAAGAGTAACGATTTGTTGCTTTTTTGACATCTAAGTATAAACAATATCTCCTATATAAAACACGAACCCTATAGTGCTTTTTTCTCTCATCCAAGTCTCTGACCCGGTCATTATCACTATATTCGACTAGTTGAAATCAGTTGATGAGGAATAGAATAAAACAAAGTCGATCGTACCTTTGAATAACGAAGTGTCCTCTTAGCGGCCTTCAAGTGAATAGTAGTTGGCACCACCACATAACGACCGACAATTCCAACAGCATGGAAGATGTTGGCCTGGTACAACTCAGGTAACACAAGCTACCGACCAAGCTATTGAAAAAATTTGGATTAACTATTTCATCATTCCAATGCTGGGACAACTCGTCTCCACATTTTATTGGAGTGCTTATGGGGTTACAGTCATTCATATTGAATTTCTTGAGTATTTATTTTCCATAGCTTTCTTGAGAAATAAATATTCCTTCATCTTTTTTGCTTAATTTCAATGCTGTGATAGTACATCATTTGTTAAATGCTTGTCACTCTAACTCTATAGTCGCCGCTCTCTTGAATTCTTTAAACACACTTAGATTACTTCCAATGAAAATCAAGTCATCAACAGACAAGCACACTATAAAAATACCCCCACCATTAACTTTAATTTAGAGGGCATGTTCATAAGGACATTTGATGAAGTTATTCTAAAGGAAATACTTGTCGATGCAGTTTTTCCTTGCCCTAGGTGCTTGTTTTAACCCGTAGGGAGCCTTCTTCAGCTTCAAAACCTTGTCTTTATATCCCGATGATTGTTGAATGTAGACTTCCTCTTCAATGACTCCATTTAGAAAGGTTTCAAAACTACATCTAATCTCCATCATCTGTTTGATGTATTTTCCACCAATTTTGACTTGTCAAATGAATAATTAACCTTATAGTATCAAGTCAAGCAACAAGAGCAAATATATCATCATAGTCGATGCCACTTATTTGGTTGTAACATTTCGCTACTAATCTTGTTTTTTTTATTTCTCGACTTCTCCTTTGGCATTCATTTTTGCTTTGTACACCCAGCTTAACGTCATCTACCTTCTCCTTATTTCTTTTTAATTGATTAGTAATTGCTAAGACTCTAGTAAAGCAATCAGAGACGACTTCGACTTTTTTCATATGTAAGGCTTCAAACTCGCCTCTTAATGTTTGGAGATGCACCTCATTGACTTGCTCCACTCCTTTATAAGTGATTTGAAGCTTCTCCCATGCCTCTTTCGCAGACCCCGCATAGGAAATCTTCTCGATAACATCATCATCTAATCCTTGAATGATTAGATAGAGAACTTTCTTGTCTCTCTTCTTCGAATATCTTAAACTATCCTTTTGAGTTTGGGATAAACTTTACTCATCTTGTGGCTCATTGTATCCTTTCTCTGCCATCTCTCATACATCTTGTACTGCAAGACGGACCTTCATCTTGATGCTCAAATTGTCATAGTTGCTATTGTTGAGCGTTGGGATTTGGAATGAGATCATATCATTGCTCGTCATCTCTCTAGAAAGGAACTTTGATTCTGATACCACTTTGTTGAAAGATAAAAGACTATTGTAAGAGGAGAAATGCTAAAAAGAGAAGATGACCACTTCAAAAACTCGCTCTTATTTCACTCTTACACTTCTTGATTCTACTTGGTACGAAACACAAAAACATCGATCCTATTTATACCAATGACAACTCATTAGAATTGTGCCAACACATTTTAATCTAATGACTACTATCGACTCTATAAAATATTCTCCTTTTTTACGTTACAAAAGTCATTAATTACATGTTTCTCTTAAATATATCTTTAGAATCTTCTAAAATATTCTTCATAAAGTAAGTCTCTAAAACTTTCTATAGACTATTCTGGATTATGGGCTCAATTAAAAGCCCAAATTAAATATACTTTTTTCAAAGGATGAATTTGAGTAAAACCAAGATGAAGTTGAGTAAGAATAAGAACAGGCTGATTAGGCAATACGAACAAGATGGGCCCCGTGAAATAAGTGTTAGAAGAGGCTGTACTTTTAATTTATTTTATTTTCTTTTTTTTTTATGCTATATATAAAAATAATATAGTTTATTACGTGTGGAATTTGTAAACCGTAATGTTTTATGTATTAAAATCCCCTAGAATTTATTTATTGATATTAATATTATAATAATTAATAAAATTAATAATTATGCAATTGTATTACTAGAAAATCTAATGCCTGTCCCGGGAATGATTTGACGACATCACAATTGCATGGAAATATATTTTGTTCCCCATATATATATATATAATGACAAAAGTAAACATTATTAAAATATATATATATATATATCAATAATTTAGTACGAATCTTGAGGTATAACAAGGATCTAGATACAAATCTTATAGTAATAAATATTCAAACTTCAATAAAAATTTATCGAGAGAACTGATTCAAGCAAACTTATAGTCAAACTGACTGTACCGATGAGATGGACCCAACGACGCTAAGATCAATTCAATTTGAGTCAAATCAAGCTCAAATCAAGTCAATAAACTATTTTTGGAAGGTTTTCGGACATAGTTGAAAGGTCAAACAAGTATCAAATATTGCATTTTTATAGTCGTCTCAGTGAGACGAATCTAATAAGCTTAAGATCACTCAACTCCGACATCATTAAGGTAGTTAAACGTTCATTAAACTTCATCCGATTGAGGGGATCTCTCCCGGCCAATAGATCAAGAGTGCTTTGATTTCTTCCCTATTTGTAATTTAGATTATATAAATAGAGCCCCAAGCCCCTCATGAGAGTGGACAGAGACTCAGAGCTAGAGGGAGCAAAGCCTGGATAAGAGGGAGCTGCAGCCCAGCCTCCTGCATCGTCTTCTCCAGTCATCACCGCCTATCAGCCACCGCCACCTTCATGCGTACCGCTGTCTCATTTTGATGGTCTTCATCTCTAGTTTTTGTACATCGTCTCCTTCCAGTCGTCATCGCCTTTCGACTGTCGTCTCTTTTCTGCTATCGTTGCCACTTATTCCTCAGCCTTCGACCGCCTCCACCCTTTTGTCGTTGGGTTCAATCGTCCCTTGTATGGCTCCAAGGCAAGTAGTTTAAATTTCTCGGGGGTCAGCGCCAGAGACTCGCAGAGAGAAAGCATTCTCTGGGTTTTGCAAATGCTTTAGTTCACCCAAGTTTCGATGCCTTTCTTACACAGGGGCCAACCCGGCATTGTCCCGGTACAGTACCTATTCGATCCTCTCCAATGGATGGTTCATCCTCCTTTCGTGTTGAGCCTGATCTCCTTCCGGGAATGTGGCCGCCCCTAGGGTTGCAACCTCATTTAGTATTTCTGCAAATCGTCATGTCATTTGATTAGTGATCTGAGCTCTCAAGTTTTGTAATCCTTGTTGAACGAATTCTTCCATAATTTTTTTGGTACAAACTGCTTCCACTAAGTTTTTTTGATTGGTTTTTCTGTCTTATTATTGTTGGTGCGCTCCTCTTCTTGTTGACGATATGGTTCCACATCATATCTAAAAGAATGTTGAATCCAAAAGTGTTCAGGAAACACACCCAAGGAATAGAGTGTACAAGGAAGAGAAAGAAGTAACAATAATGAATTGTAAAGAGTGCGTAAAATTTTCATTATGACTACCCTCTATTTATAATCATAGAGCAATGACCCCATAAAATTGCATATCTACCACTTCATCATTAACTTTTCGAGGAATCTTTTGATAAATTATAAGAATACTAAATACGATAAGGCATGTCGACTCATCCGGATGATGAGAAGCTCGTCGACCGTCAGTTTCGTGTTTACTCCTCGATACTTGAACTGGGGTAAATCCATTTGACGACCGCTTCGAAGGAAGCTAATCGTCGAACTAAGGGACAAAAGTCTTCTGATGTGATTGTCGGCATCTAATCCCCCATGTCATTCTTTCCATATTTTCTTCGTCGGTGTTTGATCTGTCGATCGTCTGGCAACCGTCTGTAGTTGATAGCTGCGGACGATTGATCATGCAATGGATCATTCTTTCCTTATGAGTCGTCTAATTATCTTGAGATTTGTGTCGACGTATCTCTTGTATTCAACATTCATCAATAAAAATTTGATTGTTGCTTGTTGTCGCATACACGGTTAATATTTGTCAAGCAAATAAGAACATTATCATTATTAACGCTTGCAACATCAATCCCTCCAATGCCACTAAAAACACTGTCCATCTTTACTGACCATACCCACACTAACAGGATCATTGAAACCCATCAACAAGAAGGACAACGCCAATAGGATTATTGTGTGTTAACACCAAATGAAGTTAATTGTAATCCTCCATTGATAATAAAACCCATAATATATTTGAATATTTAATTAATAGTATGATCTAATTATGCAAATAATTTTAATACAAAATAATCGAAGTAATATATGATTAAACTCCATCAAATTACTTCTGATTCAAATCCCCTGCTAATCGACTGAATAAAAAATTTAGGCTTTGTTTGGGGCCGCGTATTTCGCGCGGGGCGGCCCCAAACTGGGAAGCTGATAAAAAAGATTTTGTTTGGATGTTGTGTTTGCGGCCGTCCGCTGCTAAAATAGGCGGAATGTGGGCTGCGGGATTGACCCCACGACCCCGCGTTTGCGATCGGCTTTGACCTCTTTGCCCCGTGCTCCCTCGCGAATCCCTCGAAGCTGCCATGCCCCTCGAAGCCTACGCTTGCTCGATGCCGCCCCGCCCGCAGCTCTATTTGGGGACGCAAGGTAGAAGACGAAGCTTGAGACACAGAAAGAAATGTCTGATGGGAGAAAACAGGTGATTGAGCTATTTGGGAGGAAGATAGCGTTGATAGAAGAAGGTGGTGTAGTCTCGACTCGGAGGAGGAGAACGTGAGGTTCGAAGGCTATGGGTTTCAGCGAAATCGGTAGAGGGGGAAGGACATGGGCAGGGGCTTTGGCCAGAGAAAGGGAAGTGACGGGAGATGCAGGTGAAGGTTTTTTATTGAGATATTAATTTAACTTTATTAAAGTTAAATCTTATTAATTTAATTGATTATAAACCAATAATTAATTATTAGATTAATTATAATTAGATAAATTTAAATGTACTTATTTAATAGTTAATAAAAAGAATATACATAAAACTTTCAATTATTTAATAGAAGAAGGTTTACAGGCATATCAGTGAAAACTCATCTTGCTATTATGTATTTAACACCTAAAAATATAATATTACTACTATAGCACGTTGAAATTGTTATTAAATGTGTATATCGCTTCGTCACTGTCCTCCATGAAGTTCGCTCCATCTCTTAACAGAAAGCTAAAAAAAACTTCCTAGGACTTCCTCTAGCTGAAATCTTCTAAAATATAAAATATGTTGAGTTACAGTTTTGTTTTAAACAGTTTTATTAAACAAGAGCATAATGATCAATTTTTCAGAAACAGCTGCCACATAGTTGTTTTCACACAGTCGCAACAAAAAGACAGTCAGCTTTCCCGCAGCAGCGTCCTGAAGCTGCGCCAAACAAACCCTAGGTCTATTTGGGGCTGCAACTTCTTGAATAATCTGCTGATAAACTGATTAAAAATAATCTGTTAATTATATAGGTGCGATGAATATTACTAATTTTTATTTTATTTTTTTGAAAAGTTAGATCGTTGTCAGAAAGCTACTGCTGTGTGAAAACGTTGTTTTCAACGTTTTGAAAATACATAAGCTGCCAAAAGACAGTTTACCAAAATAAATCAAGTGTATTTTCAAAATGTCACTGCATCAAACAACCTTCGGGACCTTAATGAACAGCTCTCAAAAAAATATATACACTTCAATTATATTCCAATCAGTATTTTTCCTTCTTAGTCATCAATTGCCAGGCCGATATTGGTGATGTCAGAGACCAGTCAGTGGATAGTTTCAGGAAGCCAACAGTGACAACGATCTTTCATTCAATAATGAAATTCTCAACTTCATCAAGTCGAATGCATAAACAATTCTAACTGCGTAAACTTGCATCCAAGTAACCGCTCCCTCCAATCATTCACATTCAAGAAAATTCATAGTCCCTTAACAAATTGAAATTTTACAACTCCATAAAAAACTAAGGAGAAGCAGCGTAATCTGCGCGGCAAGATCCTTAAAGAAAGCGCAGCTGCAGAGGACTGCAGTTCTCTTCACTCCCCAATTATTAATCATCACCTTCAAAAAAAGTATATAAAAGCCTTCAAATATGGTTCACCATCAACGATCCCAAGCAGTTTTAAGCAAAAGAATGAAGAAAGTTTTCTGCTTTCTGCTCATAACAACTGCCCTCCTCGCCACCGCAGGAGCCGGCAACATAGCCATCTACTGGGGCGCAATGGACAACGAAGGAACCCTCTCGGACACCTGCGCCACTAAAAACTATGCTTTCGTCCTCATAGCCTTCCTCTACGTCTTCGGCAACGGCCAGACTCCCGTCCTCAACCAGCTCCCCAATCACTGCAAATCCCGCCGGCGGCGGTTGCACCGCCCTAACCGACGACATCCGCGCCTGCCAATCTCAGGGCGTGAAGGTCCTCCTCTCCATCGGAGGCGGCGATGGCTCCTACCTCCTCACCTCCCAGGACGATGCGCGCCAAGTGGCTGACTATATCTGGAACAACTACTTAGGCGGCCGCTCCTCATCCAGGCCGCTCGGCGACGCGGTGCTCGACGGAGTGGACTTCGACATTGAGAAAGGTAGCCCCGATCACTACGATGACCTCGCGCGCTACCTCTCAGCTTACAGCAAACAGGGGAAGAAGGTTTACCTCACGGCGGCGCCGCAATGCCCTTATCCGGATGAATGGGTAGGCAAAGCGCTGGACACCGGTCTATTCGACTACGTTTGGATTCAGTTCTACAACAACCCCCCGTGTGAGTATAAGGAAAGAGGATCTGGGAACCTCCAGGATGCTTGGAAGATATGGACGAAGGGGATTCAGGCGAAGCAGTTCTTTCTTGGCCTGCCGGCAGCGCCGGATGCGGCTGACGGCGGGTTTATTCCGCCAAAAGAGTTGACTTCTCAGGTCCTTCCGGAGTTGAAGGAGTCGAGCAACTATGGAGGAGTGATGCTGTGGTCTAGATGTTACGATATAGAGACTGGCTATAGCCCGGCCATTGTATCCTCGGTTTGAGATCGTTAAACAAGCTATTAGCCTATAATATAAATTAATATGTATGATTTGTGCATAGACTGCTTGTGAGTGAAGCGTTGGCAAGTGTGGGTGGATATGTAAATATATAAGTTACCTAGTCGTTGTTGATGTTATATATAAATCCTGTTTATGTTTTTCAGAATGATATCAACAATGGTGTCTGGTGCAGCCCAGGCGCGACAAAGGGAAAGAAAAGAAGAAATATGATTAATTAGACGGTGGAATATTGTTCAGTTGTGGTAGCAGTCTTGATAGAGGGCCATGTATCTGTCAGCATTTAATCCGTTTTGGAGATGGAATGAATTGTTTCTAAAATTACTCTGCACATTTTCCCTGTATTTCACTCTGTTTTTTTTCTGCAGGTTTTGCACCAGTTGGTATCAGAGATCTGCTGGGAAAGGATGGCGGAAGGAAGCAAGTGTGATTTCCTTCCTTCTTTGTTCTCCCCGCTCGCACGTGCCGCCTTCTCGATCTATTTAACCTACCGCCTCTTGTGATTATATAGAGAGGGTCGAGCATGGGCTAAGGCACCCATCTCCACCTCTCCTCTCGATCTCCTTCTCTCTTCCTTCTCAGTTGATCAAGCGATCTCTTCCTTTTAATCTTCTCTTTCGGTTTCGCCCCTGAAACCATCGATTTTGTGATCAAGCCCACACGATATTGTCACAAGTGGAGCTAGCTAGGAAGGCAACGATGGGATCACAGTATACAGAGATCAAAAACTCCTATCTTCCTCTTTTTCTGCTTTGCTCCTACTTGAAACTATAGCACACCTTAACCTCTGTATTTGGTTATTAAAAACTTATTTCAAATTTTAATTTTCCCTCCTTAGCAATGTAAAATAACATAATATATTATTATAAGCATCTTAATAGACCAACATGCACAATTTCTTTATTCTAAAAATATTATAACAAGAACATTAACATTAATAATTGTCGATTAGGTAACACCTAATGTAATGAATACATAAATTTATTTACATAAAAATTTCTAGTTTTCTTTTCTAATTGGTGAGGGATCTATTGCCGAATCGTTGAATTCGAAGGTATTGTATTTATCATCTTGAGTTAAGTAACAGCTCTTTCTTATGGAATAAACTCATCATTCTTAACTTTAGTTAAGGGAGTTATCTTTGCTAATTGTATTTAATTCCTAACAAAATTTTGATCTGTCATTCATACCATTAAAATTTCATGAATATAATTATAGCATATTTTATTTGTGGACATAATAACTTTCATATGTAACTAGCATTATTTTATTGCAGCATAGATTCATGTGTTTACATGTCTTGGTTTAATAACTATTCTATCTTTATAGCATGATTACAGTTTGATCATTGGTTATAAGTAATAGTGGATATTTTGTAGTTATAATTTTGTGTTTAGATTGTGATGCATGAAGTATATTTAATATTATAATATAATTATGTTAGTATTAAATCTTTTTTGGATGTTGGCTAGCGCGATCGACGGGTCAACACAATGACGACTCTATTGAAAATTATTAGATTTCCTTGCGGCTGGTGCCTACCTTTCCTGGTTTCAAGATGTCCTAGTATACCGACTATATAAATATAATTGTCTTCATTTGTTATGTATATACTTAAATGGTAGTTGAATGATTGATGAGTCATATCTGTGCACAAATATATGATTTTGTCACATGTAAATATTTACATAAAAGTGCATGTGTTCAAATTACTCATATTAATAACAATAAGCATGTGATCATATTTATAAATTCTTTTAAATAATATCATATTAATAATAATAGCCCAGGCTCAGCTCGTGTTCAACTCGTTTATCTTTCGAACTCAAAAAGTGTGTTTGTATTCGACTCATTTTTTAGCGAGTCAAAGAAGAGCTGTTCACGAACAAAGAGTCGTTTTGACAACCCTAATCACGTATCCATAAGATGTTAAGGCTTAGGACAAGATTTAAAAATTATATTTTATATTAAAAGATCATTTGAATTTAATTTAATATTTTTTATTCTATTTTCTTTATTAATACTTTTAAGTGATTAAAAGACTTTGTAGCCTTGTAGTCAATTATTTTTTAAAAAAATACTAATGACCAATATATATATA